GCATGGCCTGCATTATAGTTAAGGCTAGTGTTAGAATATGGCAGAATTAGGGGAATTATATCACTTGCTGCTGTGTCTGTAGCAATCTCCAAAGCTTATAGGCAAAAATCTAGAAATCACAAGACAAAGTCACAAGATTATAATAGCCAATCAAATAAAAAAGAGACATCTCATTTCATATGCCTATAAACCATACTCTACGTTGTACATTGTACAAACTCCATTCCTAGTATACATGTATATATATTATTTTTTGCATATCTACAAAAAAAGATAACTTTTTTCACAGGTCTTATAACAATCTATGCTTTTTTTATTAGATTATTGTACAGGATTATACATTAGACATTATAAAATAATATAATTATTGTAGGATATAAATAATCTGTGGCCTTTGGTTATTATATATATATACAATAACAAGTATTTTTTTTTTATAATGCCAATTGTAATACTTTATTTAATTAATACCAGATTAATATATTAAAGTTATTACATTTCATTTGTGCTACTATATTAGTATATAGACACCCAATATAACATTATATTTACATTTTCCTAAATTAAGACTAGTACTATAGTGTTTCAACTATTGTTACTAATTAAGGTAAGGTTGTAGCCATCTTGTAATACTATATTCCCAAATTCTATCTAACTATCTACTTTCTGCAGTAACTCGTCCCTTCTTTCAAATTGGTTGACTCCAGCAGTTTATTGCTCTTCTTGCTACCAATTTGGTGTACACAGCCCTTCATGTATTAGTACTGATCAGCATGACTGGATTTATTGAGATTCTGAATTATCATTTGCAACTACCATGTACTCTTTTTTGTGTACTCCTATAGTTGTAGTACTATTGTACTTCCAATTTGGTATTGCAAGAGGGCCTGGAACCTTGACTTATTACGTATGAGTATGGTAACCATCAATGATGTTATGATGTATGACTATTGTTTTGCTTCTTAAGAGTTTATAGTATCTGCCTAAGATGTTCTAATTTTGGTTAGACCAATCCTTTGTCACAGATCTTTTTTGCATGCACTGCTTTACTTATCACTCCAGTTTTAACTACATTAGTATTACCCTTTCAATCAAATCTCTGCAAGTTGGGTACAGAGATGTTGGTGCTGCTCATCTCAATAGGACTTATCTGTGCAACACTTTTGGTAATAGAACCTTCTGTAATGCTACTGTTACACATAGTGCCTTCTCTCTGCAAAGTTGATCTCCTTTCGAAAATTTCTAATCTATCCTTGTACTTCACCTTGGGACTTACCACAAGGCTTTGCATTCAATTTGGCTCCTATATTAGGTTACAGAGTTAAAATCCTTGAATTTTGCTTTCAGCCCAACTTGAACTGTTGACCTTGTCTGTAGGGAGTTGGCAGTTTAACAATTAAGCTATGGAGTCCAACCCCTTACAATAACAAGTATTAATTAGTTAGAATATTATTAATGATTATTTCTTTTTGGAATAATTCTAAGTTACAATTTAAAGACTAATTGATTAAACATATTTGATTATTATACAGAATTTATTTTAATATTTTATATTTCTAAATTTTAGCAGTTTGATTTTGAAAAAAGGTTTTACAAAACTAATTTGATAAGTAATATGCTATGTTTTATATGTTTATATATATAATTAAAGCTTTACTTAAAGAGGCTAATTACTCTTCTTAAGCCTTTCTTTTAGACTTTTGCAATTCTTAATATGTTGGAGTTTTTTAAATAAAAAAAGTGCAAAAAAGAATGTTTTTAAGAGAACAAACTCAAGATACAGCTACAAACAAAAGACCAGTAATATATTCTTTTTTACTAAAATCTATTACAGTTTTTGGTAATATAAGTTCTTGGATCATATATACTATAATAAACTATACAAAAGTAAAAAGAATTTGTAAGCATGATAAGTTATTGTATTGCTTTTCAGATATATCAAATAGCTGAAATTAGAACAAGTCTGTAAATTTAATAGCAGAACTAGTATAATTATCAAATTTTACAAAAACAGTAATAAGAAGAAAAGATGAGCTCTAATTATCTTCAGATAGAATATTATAAACTATTTCTAATGCACTATTAACTACTCCTAGTTTCATATATAAATTTGTCTTGAGCATAATATGCATATTTTTAGTTAATAGCAGTTGTGTTTCAAGAAATTTTGCTATATCTGAATTAGTTTTAGTACTTTACTATTTATATGAATAGCATAAATCCTAGCAATGAATTGATTTAATGATCTAAGTTTACCAATATTAATTTTATCAACATTAACTTTTTGAGACAGAATATATATAGCATCTGAAAATTGTTTATACTCTCTAGTGTTACAAGTTAAACAATAACTCATTGCTACTAAACAATCTAGTTTAAATAATAAGTACAGCATACACCTAACTGTTAACTATTTGCTCTTATAATATTCAAGGTAATTGTATAGTTATTTTATTAGATTTGATTGATATTTTATTACTAATTTAATTTTCTTTATAACTAATACTTATTTTATTACTTTTTGCTATTACTTATATATTTTATTTTGAGTTTTTTTTTTTTTAAAAGCGAGGTCTTGCCTCAGTTTTCTTTATTGAAATTTATATATAGGTATATTACATAGTATA